AAAAAAAAAAAAAAAAAAAAAAAAAAAAAAAAAGAAAAAAAGAGAGAGAAAGAGAAAACAAAGAGAGAAAGAAAGAAAAATTGCAGAGAAAATAATGAGAGATAAAAACGAAAGATAGGCAGGATTGGTTTGAAACGTATCATCGATTCTGTAATTAAAAAGACTCTCACGGTCGATTTCATCGAACGGTATTCCGTGAACGATGATTCGCCCTTGGAGCGGAATTAATTAACCGAAATCACGACCGAGAGATTGAAGAAAGGAAAGATTTCACAGATTAATTGAAACCCGTGGTCGCCGAATTAACGAGATCGACACGCTCGATTGTTCCTCAGACTCGGTGATGCACACGATATATACACCGTTGGCCAAAAGTTTCAAAATTGAATTAGATCGAATTTTAACCATGGATTAAATTTTTTTTTTTTCTCGAATATAACTCATCAAATATACGTCATTTCTATTTATATAAAATCTCAAACGGAACAATATTTTTTTTTTTTTTCCGCGAAAAATTATTCGATACGTGTAAAATAAAATAAAAGATTCTTCGAAACTTTTGAACAACGGTGTAATAAGCGCACCGCGCAGGCTCTCGTTTCAGCAAGCCGCTCATTCTTTTCCTTCGCGGTACCGCGAGCACTTGAGCAACACGCTTCCGTTACTCCCACGCAACGAAACGTTAACTCTTTTTTGCCGTATTTTCAGCTCGAGATACCGGCAAATCGTTCCGGAAGGTATCTATCATCGATCGACGTCGAGGTCTCTTTAATAATATTTTATAACAACAGCGACAGTTTTCAACAATGGAAATATGGCAAAAATTATAGATCGACAAATAAAATATCGTAGCTAGCACCTTTTTAATTTCCAACGCGCACTTTTCATCACATTTTGTAATTGTAATAATAATAATATCATCCAGATGACAAAAGATAGTATTTTTTTTATAGGTTAATAAATCGATCGTGGAAACCTGATTTATGTAAGATACGATAATTTTTTTTTTAATTTACGACACAATATAACACGAAGGGACTGGCGTCCATTTGGCGTCGCGACGAATCGTCGTTAGTAGGAGGGAAACAAGATTTACGGGATCTCTTTTCATCCTCGACATCGGTTATAATTAAACGCGGATCGCTTGGGAAATCTGCTCGAAGGCCTTTTGATTAAATCGATAAACTGCGCGCGCTCTGAAAGTAAGCCACGGTGTAAATCGTGTTGCGCCACGATCATTGGATGTACCGATGAATATTCGTCGCGTAATAACGCGTCAAATTTTCCTATCTTTCGAATTGTCGAAACGATGAATTTATTTGGATGCGTGACTTCAGTTCGAAAAAAAAAAGGAAGAAGAAGAAAAATGTGACGTGTAAATTCACGGTCGAAAGTTGGGTCAGTGATCTTGTTAGGAAATGTCATCCTCGTTGCTCGCACACAACGCAAGAAAGTGGAAACGTTTTATTATCCACCACTTTCCACCGCAGGAATTTTCTCCGTCCGTTTCACGGAATCCTCCTGCTCGTTCCGCGGAAATTATAGGAGCGCGAACGAGGAAAAAGTAGCACGTAAGAGGAGGGAATCGGCCTTCAACGAGATTCTTCATTCTCTCGTCTCGTTTTCGGTCGGTTGCACGATGACTGATGAATTAATTGGCGATATCCGAGGTGTAAAGAATGGTGGATTTGACGGGTGGGATGAATTGATGTATCATTTCACGGTTTCACGGTATGAAAAATGTGCGTGTAATAATATTTATAACTCGTTTTGAAACTGGAATTATTCTTGTTTTCTGACGCCAGATCGTGTAATTTTTTAATTCGCGATTTGTATCAATTTGGTAATTCAATTGCGATGGAGATAATGAAAAAAAGGTACTGACATATTGACAATTAACATTTGATAAATGATTTATAAAATGATCACGATTTATGAATCGCAAAAGTGGTACGGATTATTTTCGTATATATCGAATGAAATTTTCATAATTAAGTATAATTTTTTATCGACGATCGACTTTGGAATACGTTATCGATGTAATTTTCTGAAATCTATTAAACTCTATTTCGCTTCGTTTAAATTAAAAATCAATCATAGTCAATTTAAATCTACCGCGGTTTCTATGGAAACTTACCTTAACCTAACCTAACCTCCTTACCCTAGAGAGCATGGAGATCGTGTCGAGAGAACGTGTCGGTTCGTGATCACCGTTGCAATAAAAGAAAATAAAGGCAAGATAGATTCGTACAGTCGTCTCCAGAGATGGTTTTCCATGGGATTCTCATAGGAATTTCCTAGGTACGTGTCATCGGCACGTAACCTAGGATTAGCGTGACGAAAGGATAGACGATCCTCTTTCCCAACCTTTTCTCGCCTCGAATTCATTTCGATTGTTCCAGTTCCAATGTCAACGCGATTCTCAACCGTGGAAAGTGTGCGTGAGTCGAGAAAAAAGTCGGCTCCCGTGTAATGTTCACGGGAACACCTTTCATTCACGGTGTACACGTGGTCGGGCATTCGTCAGGAATATTTCGAGATTCTGGGAAAATTCGTTCTGGAATTCGTTTCGAATAATAAGAAAATTTGACAGAAAATTGACTCGAAATTGGCTTGGTGTGTAAAAGACACAGGTGTAAAAGTAAAAGTGTATGCGTAAATTTATGTGTATATACATGTATATTGTGTTTCTCTAGTAAATAAATTAGAATTTCGATTTAAATAAATTTTGTGTTACGTGTAACGGGAAAAATATAAAAGAATATAAAATTGTAATTAGACTCCAATGACCTTGAAAAAAAACTCTTAAACCTAACAATCGCGATTAGTCTAGCGTAAACTAATTTTCTTTTATTATTTCTAAAAGATCATTAAGATCATCTTGAACAAACTTTTTCAATTATTTTTTTTTATTATTTATATTTAAATGTCGTAATAAAGTAATTAAAGAAAATCTCATTAACTTTCTACGTTCGAGCCCATTTCCTAATCTATAAAAAACATCTATAAAAAAAATGTAATAAATCCTTCTTTTAATAATATACATTTTACGATGAAAAGTAAGAAAAATAATTTTAGTAACGATAATAAATGAAAATAGAACACGCAAGATAACGGATAAGAATTAAAATCCACGATTTTAAATTAAAAACGAAATAATTCTGAATTATCTTTGAACTGAAAGAATGAAAACTGAAAGATCGAATAGCGAACGATCGCGGGAACGATATAGTCGAGTATTTTCGTCGATCACACGCGATTGCTATTTACCGAGGGTGTGTCTCGTTACGTAATATTCCAAAGTGTCTTCCAAAGTTGAAATTCCACGCGTGATACGGCCGTGTCGCAATCCTTTCCACCGTGAGATAGTTTCGCTTCCTCTTGGAAATTTATATATCGTTTCACGTCCTCTCTAAACGATCACGAAACTCGTGTACGAAACCTTGTTTTTATGCAGGGGGCGAGCCGTGTGCGGATCGATCGATAAGCCGACGAAATCTTGATCGAGCGTTGGTAAAGTGAATTTCCATGTTATCCGTGAAAAGGCAAAACGTTCGTGGAAAATAGGTTGGGGCAGGATAATCGAAGGGAAGTGGAAATAAATGGACAGTGGCGTTACACGGTCGTAAATCATTCTCTACGGTCGTGCAATTGGTTCGAACGTGAGTAATCTTGGAACAGGTAGGTAGAGAAGGTACTCGAGAAGGAGTGAGGTTGATTACAGGGGTTGACGATCGATGATTATCGGTGAAAATATGTTAAGAGGTGCTCCGGAGAAAATGTAACGAGGTTACGGAAGTTAGAATTTGTCGTTTCTTTGAATTCCTTGAATTTTTTTCTTCTTAACCGCGATAGACTTAATCCTCTATTGA